AAGGAGCATGGGAAAAGTGCTCTAGTAGTGTTTTTGGAGGGGGTGGCTCTACCGAAGGAGGTTGGTCGAGTACTGGTGCTAGCGTTGTAGGGAGAGTGCAGCGCAAGGGCGAGGAGAAAGGGGGCCCATATTCTAAAGGTGCTTTCAAATACATGTAATTGAATTCTATGATTTTAAGTAGGGGTGATAATGGGCCAGGCCGGTCTTTGCACTTATGATAAGGGTTATAGCTTAGGCCCGAGCCCGGCTCGGCCCGGGGTTCTAGGCCTAAAACATAGGCCCTAGCCCAGGTCTATACGAGCTCGGGCTGGGCCGGGCCTGATTCCAGGCCAATGTCACTCATATATAAAACATTACATATCTATATATTAAATGACATAACATACATATAGACATATTTTATACATTATATAATATAAAATAGTACATGTAATATAAATTATACATGTCATGTTATAATATTTATATATAAAATATATAATATAATGTAAAAGCATGTATACATATGTATATATTATACACAAAATGTGTAAGTTTAAATATATGTAGGCTGGGTCGGGCTTAAAGTATTAAGCCCAAGCCCGGCCTTAAAATTTGTGGGCCTGATGTGGGCCCCGGCCCAGGCCGGGCCTGAACACAAAACCCAGGCCCAAGCCCGGATTATCTGGACCAGGATTGTGCAAGCCAGGCTGAAATGATCACCCCTATTTTTAAGTACAACCAATACTCAGTTCAAGAAATTTTTTTGTTTGGAAAAACGGTCAAACAGGTCTTCTGCGTTCTAATATGAACTATTTCTCATCTGTGTTCTTTCCACTTGCTTCTTTCTAAGCTTGCACCATAGATAGTTTTATTTTTTTTATTTTTTTTGATAGATATAACAGATTCGGACTCTAAAAGAAGTTTGGGTTTTAAAAACATGGGTTTGTCACTTCCTTTATTTTGGGCTCTTGGAGGATAGCGAGTGGGGAGCCCTTTAATTTGGGCTCTTGGGTTTTCATCATGAAATGATGGTTCGAATTGTTGAGAGCTTGGGCTCTATTTCATTTTCTTGAGAAAGAAGATGATGAACAACATGTCTTATTTCCAAGGGTAATTTTGATATTTTTCAAAAGTCTTAATCGAACATGAGGTCATGCGATATACATAACTGACAGTCCATTAAGTGTAGGTAGTAGATTGTCGCATTTTGGAAGTTCAAGTACTGGATTGTCGCATTTTAAAGTTTGGCTACTAAATTGGCACTCGGCCTAAAGTAAAGGGTACCTATCTGGAATTTTTCCTTATTATTATTATTATTATTATTATTATTAGGGTAAAATACAAAAACCTCCCCTGAAGTTTCTAATAATCATAAAAATCTCCCTTATAGTTTCACTTTAGCAAAAACATCCCCTAGATTTTTAAAGAATTTGATAAAACCCTCCCTTCCATCAATGTCTAAGATGGAAAACACTAAACGAAAGAATCAATTTTTCTAAATACCTAATTTACCCTTTTGCAAATTAGTTGCATCTATTTTTAGTTTTTTACTGAAATAATACCCTTGCTGACATATTATACTCTTTCCTCTCCTGCCGACCTCTTTACCCCTGAACTCCACCATTTGAAGAATAGGAAGACAACATTCATTTCACCAATCCAAACCCATTATTCAGCTCTCTTTTCTTCTCCTCCCTCCTCATTGTCCCTACATAACACACTGAATTGTCCTCGGAAGCTCTCTATGGGGGTGGTTCGGTGTTGTATTCCAACGCATGAAATTAATCCACTCTCTCTTTTAAACCATGAGAACATGAAATTAATCCAGCAGTATTCCAAGTGAATAGAACATGGAATCTGATGAATCTTTGATTGAGATTTGAGGGACCATACACTACTATACTAGAAAAGCGGAGGTTGTAGGTTAACCAGCATCTGTCCTGCAAACTGCAATGAAGATTGAAGAATGATCATAACTCATAACATAACATGACCTCTCTCTTTCTCTCTCTTCGTTTGACGTTTGAATCTGACCAATGATCATCACCATCGATCTGAGTGTAAACTTGATGGCCTGTCTTCTTCTTTAGATGACACTTGGTTGGGAATGGCGACCACCGTGCCTCCAACAGTGGTGTTATATTTGCCATGGAGATTCAGGCTGTGTGGAGGCAGTTCAATGCTGTGTAGGGACAATGATGAGGGAGGAGAAAAAAAGAGAGAGATAAATAATGGGTTTGGATTGGTGAAATCAATGTTGTGTCCCTCCTCTTCGGACAGTGGAGTTCTTTGCTGACATGCATAAAGTATAGTAATGCAAGAACTAGTTTGTTGCTGCTCAAAAACTATGAATCTTGATATGTTCCTTCTTTACAATTCCGGCCTGAATGAGGAATGTCAAACATTTTTCTATTGATCACCTTGAAGTTTAATAACTTGGCCTAGCTTTGGGTCCTGGACAATAGTACCATTGCAACAAAATTCCTTCTTCATATCCTTGAGTATTTTGAAATAATTGAATTCCTCCCTCAAACCTTGCACTGTTAGGATGTTCCAACCATTTCTCTGCTATATATGCACATGCACATACTCCTTTGCCATAGCACCTCAATCCTTAGCATTTGCCTCTATAAAGGGATGGAAGGTTGTAGGAATCTGGATGTCGTATTCAGACATGAACCTTGGACGTTGAAAGTGGAGGACTACAAATGGAGTTTCAAATGTATGACTAGTTGAAGAAGAAAGAGATCGACGGGAGAGGAAAAGGGGATAACATGTTGATAGGGGTAAAATAGGTATTTAGAAAAAATGATTAACCGATTTAACGTTTTTTGTCTTGGTCATTGACAGAAGGGAGGTTTTCATCAAATTCTTTAAAAATCTAGGGGAGGTTTTTTCTAAAGTGAAACTATAAGGGAGATTTTTATGGTTGTCAGAAACTTCAGGGGAGGTTTTTTTATTTTACCCTTATTATTATTATTATTATCATTATTATTATTATTATTATTATTATTATTATTATTATTATTATTATTATTATTATTATTATCCATGTGGAACTCCATGTGTGGGCCTACATGAGCTCTCATGTGTCATGATGTGGTGATATGGCGATTTTTCATTGAAATGTATATTATAATTATATAGAAAGCATTGTTTATATGTATGAGTAAAGCGGGGGCTAAAAGTGTCATTCAACATAATCACTCGTGGGAAAAGTAACTCACCAAACATCCCCGCTTAATACATGCTTAAAAAACACAATAAGTGATAACACAAGTGGATTGCCAAACACCCTTAAGTGGTTATTAAAAGAAACACTTCTAAAAAATACTTGTGCAACAAGTACTTCTTTTAACAATTCACCAAATATAGCCTAAGTCATGCCAAATGTATATTCTTAGCTATTCTGATTAAAAAACAGGAAGAAAGAAACAAAGAAGTATATGTTTAACTGTTCAAAGAGGATGGAAGCGGACAGCCCTTCAAATCATCAAATGACTCACTGACACCCAAATTTTGGCTCTCTGGATTTTTCACTAAAAATATATTATAAGTGGTCTATGTGGCAGAAAATAATTGGCTCCTACTCCAATTGGAGAACATGCATCCTACCCAAGGCATTTTATACAGTAAATTTAAAGTTTAGGGTTACGGTTTAGGAGCGACTTAGGGATTTAAACTTTAGATTATAAGGTTTAAGGTTTAGGGTTAGGGTTTAATAATTTAGGGCTAAGGTTTTTGGGTTTAATGTCAGGATTTAAATCTGAAAAATAAAAAGGTGGTAGGAGCCAATGTGGCACCCACTTTGCAAATCCGTAAGCCACTGTTGTTCAGCCCTCCCAAACGGGCACTCTAGAGGTTTCTCCAGAGCAGATCAATCAAAGCTTCACCCATTACTGAAGCATGAGAAGCAGTGATGATTCGACTTCATTCATGTCTATTTACGCTCTAGCATAGTTAATGAGTGGCCCATTAATTCCTCAGTCTGGAAGGTTAATTTGGTGCACCCACAGAGTTTCATGGGTTACCCACTCATTTACTTCTTGTAAGGTAATTCTTTTGATACCCCCTTTTTTTGTTAAAAAAAAAGAAGAAAATAAAAAAGAAATTCGTTAGAGAGGGAAGTTTTTCCATTGTCTAATTAAGTTTAAAAAGAGATCAAAGATTGTCGTTGTGGACTCGTCATTTAATGGCAACCTATTAATAACAGAAACATGGGCTGTAAAAGATCAATTATGGATTTCCTGGGATGGAAGTATGGAATTACTACTAGTCTTTCTGGATTTCAGCTAATTCACGATGTGGACTCTGGTTTCTGCTGTAATCGAGGCTTTCCATTAGCCATGTCTTAATGGGATAGACTGTTTAATTAAGTCGAGCCTTCTCACACTCACTTAAAGAAGCTTTTCATTGATAGAGTACATACTGGTTGTTAGTCATTATTGATTTCTTGGGAGAAAGGTAGATACATGTAGCCATGTAGGGCTGTCAATGCATGGACCGGATCGGATATTGGTCCAATCCGATTCTACTATATATGGAACAACCTGCACCTCCTAGTTAAAATTGATTTTAATTTTTAATTTAGATTGGGTCAATTCTAAATCCGGTCCATTGACATCGATCCGTACTCTTATAGTCTTATCTTATGTTAATGGACTGGATATGGATATTGGTTCAACCTGACCTATTCTAATATAAATCCATTACAAATGGACCAGTTCCAATCCAAATTGATTTTGATTTGGACAGGGTCCAACCCAAAACCGGTCCATTGACACCCCTAACTCTAGTGTAATCTGAACTCAGATGTTGCCACGTTGGACTCGGTAAAAATGTAAAATCAAGAAATGCACAGTAGAGTACACTAATTTTCTCTGTCAACCCTACCAAAAGAAACTTCTTTCCATTTCTTCAAATACCTGCCTAATTCAATCTATAAAACACTCTCAATAATTAACAAAATGTGGTAAGAAATCCTTATTTAGAAACACTGATGATGAGTGATCTAAACATCAAAAGCTACTGCTACTGCTCTGAGAGAACTGAGAAGATACCATCTCTATCAAATCCATCTCTTTCTTGCCATCTGAAGAAGATTGATTCCTCAGCAGGTCTATGTCTGGGTTTTCGAAATAGTAGTTCTGACTCATGGAGGATGAAGAAGTAGCTCCATTCAGGAGATAGGAGAGGTAAAGATCTGAGTACAGATGTGATGTCTTGGTATCTTCTCCAGAGATGTTATCAACGTACGCGTTTGTGATCGGGGTCGTGGAAGAGTAGCCACTACATTCATCCGCCTCGATAGATGTCTGAGAGTCAAAAGGGAGAGGATTTTGGAAATCCCAACCATGACCTGTATCTTCATTTGTAGACTCCACAATCGTACCATCGGATGACTGTTCATAGATGTTCTCAAAGAATTTTGTGATGAAATGCAATTCCTCGTCGTATGTCTGGACAATCAATGTCAGAAAATCCTCTGTGAGGGTGGATTCAGATGTTTCTGGGAGTGTAACACTTAACTGTTTTGATGGGGTCGTGGGGAGTGTGGAATCAGTGGCCTTCGTGTTAGTGGGAGTAGTCGGGGTTTTATTGGTGGAGTTATCCTTCAAAATCTTCTCTATGTACTCTTGTAGTAGAGATGGCTTTGATTTTCCTCCTTGAATTGCTGCTTTTTTGAGCCTTCTCTTTGAATTTTGCCTTCTTTTCGTAGCATTCCAGTGGTTCTTTATCGCATTTTCAGTCCTTCCAGGGATTCGCTTTGCGATTTCTGCCCATTTGTTTCCAATCTTCTCATGGGCTTCAATCAACAATCTCTCTTCTTCTTCACTCCATGCATCCTTCTACAAAAGGTAACGAAAAGAAGATGAAAGAACAAACATAAAGCATGAATGGCGTTTTCTAGGAAAGCCCTTCAATATCACATGAAAATGAAGACTAAACTGAAAATAAAAAAGGAATGTGAGTGAGAGATGCTAAACAAGAAATGAAGGCTGACCAGAGAATTGTCGGGTTTACTATGGAAAGTTTTAAAATGAGCACACAAATTTAGAGGGGTATGCTATGATTAATATTTTATAAATAAATAATATCTAATAAGAAAAAAAACTTGGTTACACAGTTGATAACGGTACTATTCTATCATATGAATTCTAGTAATGATTTTTTTTTAAATCTGTATATATATTATTAGAAATTAGAATGTATTTTCTACATAAAGTTCTGCATATATAACATATGTGATGCATATGTATAAGAATTATAGAAAAAAGAGAAAAGTTTTTAAACAATCCAATTATGTTGTGTTTGTTTTGTCTCCCGTTTTAAACTTGATATTACTATAGTGTTTTGGAACTTGAAAGAGGTTATATTAGTGAATATAGTTCTATAAAGGAGAACAAAACTAACTTATCTTTCGTATTTGCCTTATAAAAGCTGTAAATGGAAATGTAATGTTTGCACAGAAAAAAAAACAATATTTTTTCTACAGTTATTACAACTAGCTAAGAGCCTCTACTAACTAATAAAATCTCTTTCAACCATAACTGTAGGGCCTATTCGTGGAAACATTTCAATATAACTGGATGACATCTCTTACAAAGTAATAGGGTTTTCTTTTATCATTGTATAACCTGTAAAAAAAAATAATTATAACAAACTAACCAAAATGCATAACTTCTTGTACATAAGGATATCAGTTGTTGCAGAAAATCAAAAACCTACATGTGAAAAGGAGCCAGGATTTCATGAAGAACTTCAGAAACAAAGCCCAGATGAAAAAAAAAAGTTGTGATGGAAACCTTATTCAGATCTCATGATCAGTGCATACAGGAAAGAAAATACAAGGAAATAAAATGAACATGTACAGAAAAGAAAATAAATATGCCCACGAAAATAATGAAGACAAGCAGAAGAAACCTTGATATCAGGGCGGAGATGATTATGCCATCGTTCTCGACACTGCTTCCCAGCCCGACTAACCAACTTCTGAGCAATATGAGCCCATTTCTTCACACCATATTGCTTCACCAATCTTATCAATAATCTTCAGAAAAAGAAAAAAAAAAACGTACAAATTAATATTAATCTTCAATTCAAAACAGACTTTTTAAGTTAAATGTGTATCAAATCTATATAACAGTTTTGAGCATCACCTGTCTTCTTCATCCGTCCACTGTCCTTTTATCAAATTAGCAGAAGATCCACCCTTGGTTCTCTTACCTAAACTCACTGCTTCCTTCTCTCCCAATGTCACCTTCTCTATTACACCCAACTTTTCGTGATTCCTGTTCTCACTCGTCCAGTTAAATGAGTCTCCATCTACAAATAACCCATCTACGAAGCTCATATTTTGAAGATTAGGCAACGAAGCTCCAGTAGAGTAACCATCGGTTGCACCACTAGTAGTTGAAAGATCAACGAACCCATCTGAAGAAACGAGCGTCTCTCCCTCAGTTACATTTAACTCGGTCGGTTTCTGTGATAAATCGCTTGGACTCCAAAGAAACCTCTCAATGGCTGTTAATGGAGTAGTACTAAGCCGAAACAAATGAAGGTTCTGTTTCATGACGGCAGCTTGAAGAAGATTAAAATTAGAAAAGAAAATTGCTTCTCAAATTACCTGCATCAAAACTGCACTCGATTTGGGCTGGCTTTTCCTTCTCTTCCAATCCATGTAAGAGAACACGGTTATACAAGACAGAACTCTTTATTAGTCATTTGATAAGCCACACTTGGGCTGGTTTTTAACAACCATCGATCTTGGGTGCATCCAACGGCTGAGGTTTGACAGCGTCTGTAACGCCTCAGCTTCCTTTGGGACAAAAGCTGAAATTAGAGGTAGGGGGGTTAGTCATTAGTGGGTTCATTTTTCATTATATTAAGCACGTATTTGATTAATTTATTTTGAAATTACAAAAGATGAGGGAGAAATTGGAAACCCTTTTAGCTTTTATTAACTAATAAAGTTTTAATTATGAGAAAAGAGTGAATTCAGGGAGCATTTCATGCTTCATCATTAATCATTGGATTAGTGCTGTATTAATTTCGACTGTGATATTACTGATATACCCCTAATAGTCATGCTGCTATATTTGGAAACTGTCCGAGTTTGAGTAAATCATGGATGATAACGAAGCCCAACTGGCGTAATTCATGAATCATGACTCAAGAAAGACAAACCACTAGTCATTGCTCTGAATTTTTTTCTTGTGAGCTTCTCATAAGTCGCATACTTTAAGGTGGAACGATGAGTTCAAACAAGAATACCATTAGGCTATATTTGATTTGATAAGCAACAAGCAGAGGGAGTTCAGGGAAAGTTTTTGAGTAATTTCACAAAATTTCTTAACAACATTCACCTCAAAATTCTCTTTCTCTCTTATTTTCTACCAACCAAATACAGCATTATTGTCACATTGTCTAATTAATTAATTAATTAATGTTGGACCAGGATTATAACCCTAATCCACTCTACATGCTTAAAGAAAAGGAACGTTAGATTTTACAATTAAATTGGCGGGTAGACCAGCATTTATTACTTTTGAAAATAGAAAAAAGAGAAATAAATATTTCATAAAGGAGCATAATTAAACTGCATTATCGTTATTGCAGTAAGATAGATGACTGACTATTTTTTTTCTCCCTAACGACAATTAGCATTTAGCAGGTTCAATTTAGGTATCTTTGTAACCGATTTTGTACAAGCATAAATAAATACCATGCGCTTTAAAGATTTTGTATTAATTAGTAATTAGAATTTTGACTAGTTCGTCGGTCATCTTTCTTATGCTTATGCCTTGTGGGAATTCCCAGGTGTCTTTGTTTAAAGCTTTAGATATTTTACCCCGCTACAGTTAGGGCTGTAACTTCGGGTGGACCCATCCCAAGTAGGGGTGTCAATTGGATCAGGTCTGTTTTGGATCCCATTCAGTCCAATTGGACCTGGTTCAGTCCATCTGTAATGGACTCATATTGAACCAGCTCGGGTTGGATCAATATCCGATCCTTTGACAGCCCTAATCCTAAATCCAAGCCAATTCAGTCCTAGATTTTGCACGTTTCGGGGCTTTTTGGACTCTAGACTTGGCTAGAAAGTTTGAGAGCTTGACATAAACTTGGGTTGAGGGCCTCAAAAGCTAGATTCTTCCAGATAACTTAACCCACCTAATTTGAGGCCCATTCCCTTCAACAAAGAATAATCACGTTACATCGTCCTTTGATGAGGACATAATTATATTTGTTATATATTTTATGTTATGCATAGCGGGGACCCCATGCGATGCACGGAATATGAATTTTATATCATTTGCCTCACAAAATATATAAGTAAACAATAATGTAAGTCATAATAAATATTGCTATTAGAAAAAAATGAATTTAAAAAATCTCTAGATCAAGTTACTAAATTTGCATTATTATGTAAAAAATAAATTAATAGAGTTTCAAAGATAAAAATAATGTTGAACCATCCTTACAATGTCATCACTGTTGTTGATTCTGCAACAAAATTTTTGTAATCATTAATATAATTTAGTTAAATAAATCAAAATTTATATGAATATAATTTTAATTCACTTACCAGGTTCAAAGATCGTATTCTTCTACAATGAAATGATTCAAATATAACTTTGTATTCTTAATAGAAGTAGAAATAATTTGCCCTGTTGTCATGTATATCATGCATAAGCAATGATGCTATTTATTGTTATCTATATAAATTCAAAAAGATAGAGATTTAAATTACCATTGTAATGTCTCACTTGCACATAATTGTGCAATGTTCTTTCAATTCTGTAATATGTAAATCAATAACATCTGCGAGATGATTTCATAAAGTAAACTTTGTTGACACTAACCTGTTATATATAATAAAGTACGTTAACATTAAATAAAATACATATTATGAATAAATATTATATATAGTACATATATGCACCCATGATCCAATAAGAGAATGCTTCTCTTTTTTACATTTGAATACAATTTAGAAGTAATTCCCACATAAATAATTATTCTGATGACATCTATTATGTATAATAGGGTTAAGATAAATAATATTTAAAGAAACTCATTATATATACTATAAATAAAAATTATACATACCTACAAATATATTCTTATCGGCATATTCAAGCATTTTGTCAAAAGAGACCAAATTATACATACCTGCTTATGGTATATTCAACATCAGCACAATGGATTTTCAGACGTGAAATACAATATATAGATCCTTCATTAAGTAAATGCCCAAATTTCTCAATTTCCGTATTAAACAATTTAACTTCTACATCATCACCTTGTAATAGAATAAGGTAAAAATTGAGTATCTATAACATCTTGCATATTATTTAATATATTAAACATACTTCAATATACTTAGGAGTGTAAAATTACCTGAGAATCAAAAATATCATTTTGCAAACCTTATAGATCATATCAGTTGACCTGCATGTATGGATATTCAATTTTTTATATGGAACCCAAAGGTGCATCTTACAAATTGGCGTAGGATGGAATACCATGTTGTTAACACATTTAAATCATAATTAAAATAAAATTCTTTAATGAGTATAAAATTAAAACATTTACATAAGAAAATTTCTCAAAATATGAACAAAGTGAAATGTTTATAAGAAATATAAATTAAAACTAAACTCTGTCAATTTTTTAAATAACGCTTTAAAAATCAATACAATATTTTCTAATTAAATTTTAAATTTCGTTCTTTTTTTTTCACCAGTCACAATGCTCCATACAGTGTGACCTGAACAATTAAAAATTTAACTTATATTAGTTACAATCTAAGAAAATGAAAAAATATTAATATGTTATGATAAAAAACATATACTTACTGATATTGCCAGTAGAGCATGTAATGATTCTGGGGTTTTGATTACAAGCCTGGAAATGGATTTGAGACTTACAAACTTTGCCAGCCCTATAAAAAGACGAAGGTAACAAAGAACCACATAGAGAGACAGTTGGAAATAGAAATGAAAGTGTCATTCAATCGACAATAAATGCATAGGAAGATCCCTAACAATACAAATCAAATAAAAACAGTATGAAATGGATTAAAAGTTCGAGTTTTTGAGCAAGCCAAAAACATAAATGGTGTTGAGATCCTAAAGAATGAACCGAGAGACAAACTGGCGTTGGGCATACCTAAAGAATCATCCAAAAAATGTAGTAGCAACGATGGATGAATGGACCTGGGCTTAGCTTCTCTTCTTTATTACTTTATGGGCCTCGTACTAGACCTGGTGTGTTTTATTGGACCTTAACCAGTTAATGTTAGTTTTGTAGCTGTTTGGTGGGCTTCCGGCTTAGAGCGCGTAGATGTTCAAGTTGAAGCTAGTCAAAGAATTTGTGAGCCCGTACACTGGACTATTGTTTTCTGGCACTACTTAGAAGAAGTTTGCTGTTTATTTTTATTATATGTTTTGTCACTAAGAAAAAAAAAATGAAATAGGGTCTGTGTGGTTCACAGTTAAAATTGGAATCAGAATCAGAATCGAAATGGTCGACTATTTGATTCAGACAGGAACCGTATTAGAATTGAAATTGGCTGGAATGGGATGTAATCCCCAAAGGAGGGGGAGGGAAAAATCATTCCCTCATGGAGGAATACTATTCCCTAGGAATGAAAATAATGGGATTTCAATTCCACTCAACCAAATAATTAGAATTGAAATGGTCCAGTCCAATTCTGATTTCAAATTCCTATTCCCACAAACCAAATAAGCCCTACATATTCAAAATCAACATTAACAGCTGATTTGTTCGTTCATCCAAAATCTGTTATTTTCCTTGTTATCCAATAACCTCGGACTGTATAGCCAACATGAGGGGAAATAAAAAAAAAAATGTTCTTGGCATTATTTTGGAGAGAAGCAAAGTGAAGATTCAAGTTGCAAAGCAGAAAGAATAAACTTTATTTCATGAAAACAAAGGACTTGTTAAGGACAGGTGGAAACTGTGCAAAGGGTTCGGCGTTCAAATTTGGCCCCTTAACATAGAAGCCTCGGCCCATATTTTGAACTGTGCAGGAAAATTGAGTTTTTAGGCCTAATGGTAACTAAAAATTCCAAAGTTAGTTTTGGTCCAAATCCAAGACCCAAAGCTTTAACAGAAGAAGCCTTACCTTGCCTTTAACGCTAAACGAATTAATAATTGATTTTCTTACAAAATTTCAGATTACTTGTTAGATGTTAACGAAAAAAAAATCAGGTTCATTTGATTTGCAGTTGGAAACTTGGAATCAGAATCAACTAGGGGAATGGCATTCCATTAAGAATAGGAATTGGAATTGGAATTGGATTCTGCATAACTAAGTGATCGGAATCAGAATTCCGATTTTAGACCCTTGTTTCCAGAAACCAAAACAGACCCTCAGATTATCTTTTGTTTTTCTCTTTCATTTTTTTTTTCTAAGGCAAAAACAAAGCATTCAATTTATTACTTGAAATATCATTTACAATGAGAGTGCAAGGAAATGTGAATCAGGAGACCATGTATGTATGAATGCTTTGAATTCTATAAACAAAGCTTCGCAATCCAGTGAGA